TGTGTGTGGGGGATGATGTCAAGGGGTTTTGAATTGAAGGGGGAGCTGATAATGCTCAATTTTTTTGATAAAGTAAGAGCCATGACTATGGATGACAATCTACTAAAGCTATGAAGGAAGGGACTCCTTTATTGAGAAGGAATCTTGGGGCTGTTATATATATGATTCTATTCCTCCACTCCTTAGGAATAACTAACTTTCCAGAAAGAAGGAAGACTCTCAGATTATTTCACATACTAATTGGTTCTAACTTTATAGGATCATAAGATTTAGAAGGGAACTTCCCTTCAGAATCACTTATTTATGGGGAAGAGGTTTGGACACTACACTCCCCCACCCCAGTGTCATGTATGTGACTAGGCTTGTCTTGGGAAAGGAGGATATGCTACAGGAGAGAAAAACACCTTTGGGTAGCTTGCTGTGTAGACGATAGAGCCAGAACAACAACTTTTCAAGGTAGCCAGCCCATGAGTCTGGGCTCATTCCCCACTCATTTGGGGAATTTGTAGTCTTGAACAACATCATTTCTAGTACTAATAAGTGGGGTAGAAGAAAGGTAATAGTACCTTCTATATTTATTCACTTCAGTAAGGAGTACTTGGGGAGTCCTCCTTCTATCCTTTGACAAATAAGCCAGAAACATAGTGCTCCTGGGTTCTGTTTTTTTAGCTGGTGGGCTGTCTTATCTGGGTTGAGTAGTTGGGCTCCCTCTTGCTTTGGGCAACAACCTATCCTTCCTCTTCTTGGTTACTAAAGATTTTGATTTCAGAATATATTAAGGATGACAAAATCATAAATCTGGAACCAGAAGGGTCAGTAGAGGCTATTTTCTCCCCTTACTTTAGAGATCTGAAATGAAGGCCCACAGAGGTTGTGTGACTTGTCCAACGTCACACAATAGGAATCCTCGCTGGTGGAATTTGAATCTGGGTCCTTTGACTCCAGAAACAATGTTCTTTCCATTATACCCTGTTGCCTCCTAGGCTGACAAAGTCTATAGAACGTCTGAACAGCTGGCCCAGACAATTTCTACACCCTCTTTGAGTCCCAGCCCAAATACCACCCCTTTCATGAATGTCCCATTTCCTCTATGAAGAAAATAATCTTTCAGAACCGGTCCTGGAGTTCAAATACTGTCTCAGACACATAACACTCACTAGCTGTGTGACCTTGGGCAAGTCACTTAACCCCATTGCCTAGCAAAAACAAACAAACAAAAAAAGAAAATCATCTTTCCCCGTGTACCTCCCTTACTATATTCTGCTTTGTACTGTAGTTACTTTGTCATGTGTCATATCCTGGTTATTAGATTGTAAGCTGTGGACAGCTTCCAGAGGAGGTTGCCAGATGGTAAGGGTCATATAAGGAACTGGAGGTGCTTAGCCTGGGGGAGAGAAGACCTCTGTGTGTGTGTGTGTGTGTGTGTGTGGTGTGTGTGTGTGTGTAAGGGGGACAGTGACTGTATTTGAGGAATTTCACATGGAGAGAGATGAAGCTTATTCTGCTTGGTAGGGCAGGAGGATGGAGAGCTAGGAGTAGTGGATGGAAGTTACAGATAGGCAGATTTGGGCTCAGATAGGGTCACAGTATCATAGCTCCAGAGATGGAAGAAATTTCAGGGGTTGTCTAGTCTAACCCCTTCATTGAGGAAATTGAGGCCTAGGGAGGTGAAGTGATTTGCCAAGGTCATGTAAGTAGTAAGTATCAGAGGAGGGATTTGAACCATTGCCTTCAGAGACAATGCCCTTTCCAGGCGTGAGATCATCTGCTGGCATGGACTATCTTAGCTCTCCATATCTCTGCAATAGTGCTTTACATTGTAAGTACTCAGGAAATCGTTGTAGATTTTAATTCCAAGGTGACCCACAATCAGGTCTCAGAAAGGCTAAGAGCATCTCTCAGCCCATTTATATCTAGGTACTCCCTGACCTGGGTTGGGAAATGACTTTCAGGCCCTGGGCTTGTTCATGGAGCTGGCCTGTGGTGGTTTGGGGGGCTGAGGTTGGCTTAGCACAGTGCCCGGCACGTAGCGTGCACTCAGTGAGTGTTTGTTGACTTCATTGACTGACTGGTTGCTGGTAGGTTCCTCAGAGCAGTGGATGTTAGGAAAACTTCAGAGAGAGTGGGGTGTTGGATATGGACCCTGGGGCAGAGGGAGAATGAAGTAAAGGAAGTGGGCTCTCTGAGATCAGTCTTTTGGAGGAAAGGCTGTGATGTTGGATGTGATCAGGTGACAGAGAAAGAAGGTTCCTGTGCACGCCGAGAGTTTGCTTGTGCTCGAGCTTTTGTATGTGGGTGGCTATGTATGCCTCAGACTGGTTAGCCTCAGAGCCCTGTTTCACTGTACTGTGTATTATCTCTAGTGATATGTTTTGGTTGGCTTGTGGCATCTTGTGTGTGTGTGTGTGTGTGTGTGTGTGTGTGTGTGTGTCTGTGTTGGGATGTTTCTGTTTTGTGGTTACCTAATCACTTGGTTTTGGCTGTGTGTGAGTGTGAGTATGTGTGTGTGTGTGTGTGTGTGTGTTTCTGTTCTGTGGTTGCCTAATCACTTGTTTTTGGCTGTGTGTGTGTGTGTGTGTGTGTGTGTGTGTGTTTATGTGTTTATTTGGGGACAAGCACTTGTGACCTGTTGGTCGGTCTGTGTTCTGGGATGAGCACATTTGTATTTCCAGTTCTCTCGGGTCTAGATCATAGCAGTCTTCGCGTTTGAGGGTTTCTGATTGGGTGTTGGTGGCTGTCCCCACTAGGGTGTGTGTCTGTCCCTGTCTTTGAGAGAACTTCCTATACCCATAGGCTTACAGATCTAGAGCCAACCAGAGGGAGCCCCCAACATCATCTAGTCCAGTTCTCTCATTTTAGAGATGAAAAAATTTGGGCCCAGAGAAGGTAAGATACTTGTTCACAAGGCTACACTGAGAGTTAGTGAGACCCAGGATTGGGAAACTCAGGTCCTTTTAACTGTCAGGCTAGTATTCTTTCCATGGTATCATGGTGCCTCTTTAGATAATTCGTATATGGAGTGTGTATCCATGCCTGGGTACGTGTACACATACGTTTGTGCATTTGGGTTTTACCAATGTGTGTTTGGGTGTTTGCTGTTTGTATGTAGATATGCACTGGAATGTTTCTTATTGTTAGGTTGAGTTGTGTGTGTGTGTGTGTGTGTGTATGTCTAAGACAAAGATAAGACAGAGAGACAGAGGGAAGGAAAGTGGAGGAAGAGGAATCTAGTTAAGAGATGGAGAGAAGGTGTGAAGGGAAGAGAAGAAAGAAAGGAGGGAGAGACAGAGACAAAGAGAGAGACAAAGAGGGATAGAGAGACCAAGACAGAGGAACAGAGTGGGACAGAGAGATGGAGGTGGGGAGAGTAGGGAGTAGAAAAGAAAGAGACAGAGAGAGACAGAGGAGGGGGTGGGGAGAAAGACAAAGAGAGACAAACGGACAGAGAGACAGACTGCCTGGTGTCTGGGTTGGGGTTTAGCAGGAACCCTTTCTTCTTTTGCCAGCTGGGGCTTATTGTGGAAGTGTAAGAGGGGGAACAGAGTGTGTGTGTGTGTGTGTGTGTGTGTGTGTGTGTGTGTGTAAGAGAGGGAGAGATGGAATGGTGGGGGGCAGGGCTGGTGACTGTAGAGTGTGAAGTCACCAAGTTCCTCTGGGCGGGGAAAGTTCTTAGTCCCTGAGTCAGAGGGCTGGCCCCAAGCCCCTCAGAACTCACTTTTTCCTTCCAGAGAAAGTGTTGCTCCTGGGAGTGTAGACTCTGAGCAAATCTGGGAGCAGTCCCGGAGCCACCCCAGGCCCCCTAGAGCAGTCACCAGCCCTGAGAGCTGAGCTCATCCCCTCCCTAGGTTGTCATCTCAGAAGAGGGGCTGGTCTGAGCATTTTCTGCTTTCTTTGATCAGTCTTCCTCAGAGCTGTTTGGCCTTCACCCATCTAGGCCCACTCATTTCTTTTGCCCCCAACTCCAGAGGCCTTACAGGGTCCTCATGATTCTGACTGGCCGGTGCCCTCTCCCCTGGGAGCTGTCCAGTCTAAACTCAGCTTAGATCCAAAAGACCTTTGGGAAGGCTAGGGGGAGGACTAAGGTTGACCTAGGGTTTTGGATGGCCTTTAATGTGGACCTGATGGACTCAGGCAGCAGGTCGCAGACAATGTGGCTTTTTCTCAATTCCTTTGTCTTCCCATTTTCCTTGGGTCTCTGTATATCAGCTTTGAATGGGTTTACTGGTGCTCTTTGAACTGGGAGAGATGAAGAACAGAAGTAGCTAAGGAGGCTGAGAAATAGGAGGGGGATGTGGAAGGAAGCATTGGGAAAGGCAGAAATTTATGGGTTGGACCCCTTTTGTAGGATGAACAGAATTTTCTTTTTGCCTGAATGAGTTTCCTTTCTTCCCCTTCCTCCCCTCTCCTCCTTTCCCTTCTGATCTCATTATCTCTTGTTCTCTCTCTCTCTCTCTCTCTCTCTCTCTCTGTCATGCATGCACATGTGCACATAAAATGTACTTTCAATGAAAGGTTCTTTTATCAGTTGCTTATATCTTAGTGTGAATTTAAGTTACTGTATAACCTCTTCTTTATGCTTTTGCATTTCAAGCCTTATTTCTAACTGTGAAATGAAAGCCTCTGTTGCCGGGTGAAGGCATTTCAGGTAGCAGGTGTTCAGGGAGTAACTGGGAGAAGGGCAGAACGAATCTACATGCTTGGAATTGCCCATTTAGGCAGTTGATCGATTACTTGAGCTCTGCTTGAGGCTGCTTTGATGTCAGGAGATTTTGAAGAAGGCTTGGGAGATGCCGCTTCTTTTCCCCTTCTCCTCCCCACTGTCTCCACCTCCAGCTATCTCATGGCAGCAAGTTGAAAGGTTTCACAGCCATGATATGAGTTGGCTAATGAGAGAGCTCTTAGCTCCCTTCTCCCAAGGGGTGATGAAATAGAAAACACACACACATGCACACACACACTCATTGATCTGCTCTGTCTCTCTTCTCCTTGTTCCGACACAGAGGTGGTGGGACACACCCAAGGTCCACTGGATGGGAGTCTCTACGCCAAAGTGAAGAAGAAGGATTCTCTGCACGGCAGCACAGGTGCGGTCAACGCTATCCGCCCCACTCTTTCAGCCACCCCCAACCACGTTGAGCACACCCTGTCAGTGAGCAGCGATTCAGGGAATTCCACTGCGTCCACCAAGACTGACAAGACTGATGAACCAGGAGGTCCTCCTAATGCTGCTGTATCCCTGAGTCCTGAGGAGAAGCGTGAGCTGGAGAGGCTGCTGAGTGGTTTTGGCTTGGAGCGGGAGAAGCAAGGGCCCATGTACCACACCCGACACCATATGTCCCGCCAGCATGGGGGACCCGCTGCTCCCTCTTCTGGGCGCCATGTTGTCCCTGCCCAGGTCCACGTCAACGGTGGGGCCCTGACATCTGAGCGGGAGACAGACATTCTGGATGATGAACTGCCCAACCAGGATGGGCACAGTGTAGGCAGCCTGGGCACTCTGTCCTCCCTGGATGGGGTCACCAACACCAGTGAGGGGGGCTACCCCGAGGCTATGTCTCCACTGACCAATGGCCTGGACAAGCCATACCCAGCAGAGCCGATGGTTAATGGCAGCAGCTACCCCTATGAAACCCATGCCCGGGCCCCCCTCACTCAGATGGTCCACGGGGCCCCCATGCGACCCTCGTTCTCAGCCCAGGAGGGCCTCTCTGGGTACCAGCGAGAAGGCCCGCACCTGGGATGGCAGCAATCGATGACTCATCCTCACTACGGTTATGATGCCAATGGGATGTTCCGCTCTCAGTCCTTTCCAGAAACTGAGCCTCAGTTGCCCCAAGCCCCAGCCCGTAGTGGGAGTAGTCGAGACGCGGTGCAACGAGGACTGAATTCCTGGCAGCAGCAGCAGCCTCGCCCACCTCCACGCCAGCAGGAGAGAGCTCGCCTAGAGAGTCATACACCCAACAGGCCCAGTCCCCAGCCTCAGGTGGAGGCTTCAGCCTCTGGCCTCCCTGAGTTCCCCAGGGCAGCCTCCCAGAAGGAGATTGAGCAGTCTATCGAAGCACTCAACATGCTAATGCTTGACCTGGACCCTGCCTCATCCACCTCCCCCTTGCACAAATCACAGAGTGTCCCTGGGGCCTGGCCGGGGGCTTCTCCCCTTGCCTCCCAGCCTCCTCCTGGCCTTTCCCTTCAGTCCCAGCCTCTGGCCCAGTCAAGATCTGGCTACATCCCGAGGGGACATCTCCAGGGACCATCTGAACCAGCTGCCTACACCTCCCTGGAGTCTGTCTCACCTGGGAGATCTTACTCTCCCTATGATTACCAGACATCTTCAGCTGTACCCAGCCAGAGTTACCAGTCCAGAAGTCCAGTCTCTTCCTCTTCTTCTTCTTCTGCTTTCCCAGCTTCCTCAAGCCTTCCAGGACCTCGCCAACCTCCGGCAACTCTCCCTGGCCTCACAACTCAGCCTCAACTCCCCCCGAAGGAGACTGGTTCAGATCCATCCCGGACCCCTGAGGAAGAGCCCTTGAATCTAGAGGGATTGGTGGCCCACAGGGTGGCAGGTAAGAACCCAAGGGACCAGGACTGTCTCCATCAATTTTCCCCTCTTGAGTTGACCTGGATGGAGGAGGGGAGCAAGGGGGAACCCTTGTAAGGCATTCTGGTTGGGCTGTGGTAAAATAGCATCCTGTTCTTTTACATGGTGCACTGCGGCTCTCCCCATCTCCAGACTTCTGCTCATGGGCTTGGGAGGCTTATTTCAGCAATTGGGGACAGAAGTGGGAGCTGGTAAGGAAAAGATTGGTTCAGGTTTTTCTTTCTAATTGGGGTTAGGGTTAGGAGATTGTCAGAGCTCACAAGACAACTCAGAATGTCAACTTCTACCCCTAGCCCTCTAGGTTAGGGGCTCTTAACCTGGGCTCCACAGTCCATGGAGAGATTATTTCAGGGGGTCTATGAACTTGGAAGAGAGAAAAATGCATCTTTGTTTTCATGAAATGTAGCATTTCCTTCAGTTATGAATGTAGGTAACCAGTGGTGTTCTGAGGAAGGAAGGATCCATAGGTTTCACTAGACTGCCGAAGGGGTCCATGACACAAATAAGTGTTAAAAACCTCTGGTCTACACTGTCTAGCTTGGGTTGTCTCTTGTGTAAGGCTGGAACTCAGATCAGGCTAGATTGTCTAGATCAGCATTTGTCCCATATCATGCCGACTCCCAAATTCCATCAGAGGAAGGATGTATTTCCCTGGAAGAAGGAGGAAAAAAAGTGGAATGTCAGGGCCATGGGGAGAAATTTTTTGGTAAAGATAAATTGTCATATTTTAGGGCAGCATAAGGAAGAATTGCCACATGAGTACTTGCTTGACCATTTATAGAACCATATCTCTGGAAGGCACCTCAGAGAGGTGATCATTTAGTCCAACCCCCCTCCTTTTACAGTGAGACCCCAAAGAGTGATGTAATTTGCCCAACCTCACTCAGTGAGTTAGTAGCACAACCGGTATCTACCCCAAGGCCTGCTGATTCCAAAACCCATGCTCTTTCCTCTGGGCTGTGATTAAATTTGTATACAGCAGTTGTGATTTTTCCTCCTCAACACCTTCCTGAGGCATCCACTGGTTGCAAATCCTTATTGTAACTATTTCTAAGGTGAATCTAAAGTCCAGAGGTGGTCTGAGGAGTCTTGAAGTAAGATTAGGCATTAGGCCAGATCCCTCAGCTGACTAGGGGCCATGGAAATTTCAGAGAGGAGTGGATTGGGCAGAGAAACAGATTCCTCTCCCTGACTCCCATTCCCTAAAGGGGAAGCTGAGTCACTATGCCAACTGCAGAGAGAACAGGCAACACCCCTTCTCTTGTGTGGCCAAGGCAAATAGAGGGTGTTGGGGAAAGATGAGGGGACAAGGGATTCCTGATGGGATTCTGTGCCTGAAGGATATGTGAAAGCTAAGGAGACAGCTCAGCTCCATGGATTCAGCCCAGTCTCTGGGGCTTGGCATCTCAGGATGCTGAATTGGTCTCATCACTCTGTCCTTGACCAGGTAGAGATGTCTTGTAGACAGAGAACCAGTCCTCTATTGAGTCAAGAGACTTGATTTAATTCTTTGGAAAGTAGGGCTTCCAAGAAGTATCATAGCCCTCACTTTCTCCTTCTGTAGGATAGGCACCTTCCTATGTTAGGAGCTCACCTGTTCCTTTAGCATAGAGGATCTCACCATCTATCCCCGACACTTCAAGTGGTCCATTTCACTCATTCCAAGCAAGGTTCCGTGGTCCAGGAACACAAGGGATTTGATCTTGAAGATCTCCAGTGAGATACACATACACTTAGACTATTCTGTTTTGGGGAGGCCAGGATCCATCAGAATCATATGATACTTGCTGGAGATGAGGAAGTTGCCTGGCCAGAGAGTCAGTTTGTCTGAGCCAGAGATTCAAACTTCTTCCAGTCCTAGAGGTCTGTCTGATTCTAGATCTATCCTGAGTTTGGGGAGCTGATCTAGATAGAGGATGCAGCTATTATTAGATGTTAAGGTCCTGACTTTTCTAGGATTGGCACTTCGGAGCCTAGGCTATGCCTAAGGAAGCCAAAGTGGGGAGTCATAGAACATAGATCATCAAAGATGGAGGACAGAAGGAACCATCTGATAGAATACCACCACCTTCATTTTATAGTTGGGGAAACTAAGAATGGGGGGAGGTCATCCAATTTTTAGGAAGAAATGAGGAATTAGACCCTAGGTAGGAAAAGATCCTTTTTGGGAATTGTGGGCAATTAGGAATGGGGCTTGATTATGGAAGTAGAAAATATTTTCAGAATATGTACAGCTCTACCATCAGCTATCCTGGACAGCCAGAAGTATTTCTAACTGTAATGATGAAATTTAGATTGCTAGGGTAAGTCCAGGTATTCAGAGCACTTGGGATCCAGAGATAAACAATTAAATTATGTTCAGTTTTATTCAAATCAACAAATGTTTATTGTTTTCTATGAGTTAGATACTAGATTAGATGGTAGAGCTACAGAGTTTGAAAAACAACTTAGCCTCCATCTTCAAGGAGCAATTGGGGGGATGGATTCAGGATCACAGATACAGAGCTGGGAAGGACCTGAAAGACCACTTAATCCAAATTTTTCAGATGAGGAAACTGAGACCCAAGGAAATTAAGTGACTTTTCCAAGGTCACACAGATGGCAAGCCTCAGAGTTGGGATGTATATACAGATAAACTGTAACATGTTTGAAAATGACTAATGCATAAAAAAGATGAAATATAGTGGTCTAGGGAATTCATGGACAAGGGGATCATTTCCACTTAGGTGAAAGGTGGGGTGGACAAAAAGTGAACCAACCCCTACTCTCAATGAGCTTGCAAGCTAAGCAATGGGGGAAATGTTTTGGAGGTAACATTAACAGAACTTGGAAACTGATTGAATTTGGTAGTGAAAAAGAAGGAAGAGTACATTATAAAATTTTAAATGTCTAGTCTGGGTAAATGAGAGAAAATGGTGGTACTATTAATAAAAGTAGGTAAGATAGGAGGAGAAGGGACAGGTTTTGGAAGGAAGATAGTGAATTCACTTTGGGACATGTTGAGTCTGAGGGATGTTGTCAGGATGCTGCATGTATCTAACAGGCAGTTAGAAGCGTAGGATAGTCTTGCTCAGGAACACGATGGAGTGGGGAGGTCTAGATTCTGGAGGTATCTGGATGAAGGTGGTAATCGAAGTCCTGAGGGGGGATTAGATTGCTCATAGAAAGAGAGGAATAAAAGCCCAGGGGCATAGCTGTACAGAGGCAGTTGGAGAACAAAGAGGAACTGGTAAGAAGGATCATTTGGGGAGGCAAGGTGAGACACTAGTGTCATGGAAGCTAAGGGAAGCCAGTGTCAAGGTGGTTACCTTCCAGAGAGCAGTGGTAGAGATGTAGGGATGGAAGCCAGATTGAGGAGGTACTAGGGTGTCTGGTGAGGAAATGGAGGCAGTGAGTATAGACTCCCATTTCTAGCCATTAGATGATCATTCGCTGTAGATAAGAAAGGGGAAGGTCTTAGGGAAGGTAAGAGGAGATGGGATCAAGTGCCCATGGGCAAAGAAGGGGGCTATCCTGTCCTTGGAACCTAGGGAAATGGAGGAGATGAGAGAAGAGCAGAAAAGTTTGACTTGCAGAAGAGACAAGCTGTGGGAGCTTAGGATGGATGGCTGCAGTAAAACAGTGAACAGGAAAACAATCTCAGTAAAACAGGAGGTGAAGTCATCTGTTGAGAGAGAAGCAAAGCGGGTAGACTCAAGTGCTTTCAGAAAGAGGAAGAGGTTTTGTAGAGATATGGGGAGTGTGATAGAAAGTCAATAAGAGAATAAAAGGATTGCTTTGTGGCAGTGAAGGTCCAGTCTACTTTAGATTGCAGAAATTTACGGCGAAACCCAGTCAGCATGGCTTTGTCCTCTTTCGTTCTATCCCTTCCCCTTCCTTTCCATCTCTGGGAGGGGGGAGGGGCTTGATACATCTCGAGGACTGGGAACCTTTTAACTTGAGAATTAAAATAGCAAACACTTATATTACAATTTAAGTTTTGAAAAGTGTGTTAAATATGCTATTTCATTTCAGTCTTGTGAGCTGGGGGGGCTATTATTATCCCCATTTTACAAATAAGGACACTGATGTGTAGAGAAGGTAAGGTGATTTGCTCAAGATCACACAGCTAGTAAGTATCTGAGGCAGGATTAGAACTAAGGTCTTCCTGGCTCCAAGGCTCTATCTGTTCCTCAAACCAAAACATAGAGTGTATACATACATACACACACATACATACATACATGTATGTGTATGTGTGTATGTGTAAGGAAGAGATTTAACCCAGGGGCTGCCTTTTCCAGGCTGCTATCAGTGAAATAAAAAACTGGAAGGGTAAGAAACTGGATGGGAGGAAGTCATATTTTCTATGGACTGAGGCATAGATAGCTCCATGACAGAGAACCCCTCATATTGGCATTCTAGTTGCCTTTTGGCCTCTTCCTACCATCTTTGAGCTTGGAGGCCCCCTTCAGGTTGGGGAATGGAAAAAGCACTGGCGTTGGAGGTAGTCTGTCTAGGCCCAAATTCTAGTTCTGACGTTTTCTACCTTGGTGACCCTGGCAAGTCACTTTAATGTGTCTATGCCTCAGTTTCACATCTGTAAAATGGGGAATAATAATTACACTACCAGGACTGTTGGGAAGAAATTCCTTTGTTAACCTTAAATTAAACTTTAAACCAGCTTTTCTCTGGGGCCCTTCCCTCTCAAGGTTTAACTCAAGCTTTCCTAGGAGTCAGCCATTGTTCACTCCTATTAGGCTGACATCTTCTTCCAGTCCCTGGTGGGATGTTGCCCCTTGAGTGTGTGGCCCCGTCTTCCAACACTGTCACTTCCTCTACTTTTCAGAGGCCAAGACTCTCCAACCCTCTCAGTCCTCTGGCCCTCCTGGGCCTGGCAGAAAAGACGTGATGGAAAGGAAGGGCATCTGGCTGGCACGCAGTGTCCCCCCTTCTCATTCGCTCCTCAGCTGACCTGAGGACAAG